TGCCACGGAGGTCAGAAGAGGGCTTCAGATTCCCCTGGAACTGGAGTTAAGGATGGTTCATAGCCGCCATGTGGGTGCTGGGAATCGAACCCAGGTCCTCTGCAAGAGCAGTCAGTGCTCTTAACCGCTGAGCCATCTCTCCAGCCCCTGCCAGCCCCACTTTTATGTGAGTCCTGAAGACTTGAACTCTGGTCCTCATGTTTGCAGAACAAGCAGTTTATCCACTTTCCAGTCCCAGAAAGCTTTAGATTTTACTCCAGATGAAAACCAAGATATAGAGTAACAAACTACATTTCTATCCAATCACAGTGGAAGAAAGAAGAGAGGAGGAGACTTCTGCTTCATTCATTAGAGCCTCTTGCAAACACTGCTGGCTCGGGTAAAGTGTGCTTCAATAAGTAATTCCAGCCAATACCACCCACAACTCTCCATGTCAGCATGTTTCTGACCAAGAAAACCAGAGGCTTTTCCCATGAGTGCCTGGTGATTCAGGCACAAAAGTCTATAGCACTAAATATTACCCAACAAACTATATACAAAAGTCTATAGCTCTAAATCTTACCAAAAAACTATACACCAGGTAAGAAATATCCTGAATTACTTGGTAACCAACAGTTATTAAAACAAGATGCCTTATTCAACTCTGATGTAACGCACATATTGACGAAGGTTCATGTACATTATTTACCTAGAGAGATGGAAAGATTCTAAGACGTTTGGTTAGAAACCAAAGCCATGGTGATGGTAAAAGAAAAATTTTTTTATTATTATTATTTGGTATTTTAATGTGGGTGCTGGGAATTGAACCCAGGTCTTCTGCAAGAGCAGCCAGCACTCTTAACCACTGAGTCATCTCTCCAGCCCTAGTAAAAGGAATTTTTAAGCATAGCAGAAGATGGTACGATGTATAAAGGAAGGAGACTATATATTTTTAGTTTTTATGTGTATGAGTGTATTGCCTGTATGTGTATGAGAGCACCCATGCAATGCTGTGGAAGTCAGAAGAGACCTTCAGATTCCCCTGGAACTTGAGTTAAGGACGGTTTGTAGCCACCATGTGGATGCTGGGAATCGAACCTGGGTCCTCTGCAAGAGCAGTCAGTGCTCTTAACTGCTAAGCCATCTCTCCAACCCCGAGACTATATATATTTTAAAGCACCTAGCATGAAAACACATGTAAAGAATGTCAATTCGAGCACTGTGTGTTTTAGTAAATGACTGGCAACAGCCACAAGGAAGTCATTAGATACATTATAATTCACCTATAGAATTGCACACCAAGGAGATGAATCCCAAGCAGGGTGAATCACAGTGGGATCTCTAAGTGCTACTGCTGAACTACATTACAAGAGGAAAAGCAAGATGCCAAGATTCTGAACACAGTATGGGTGGAAAGCTTTACTTTTTATTAGCGGATATTGAAATTAATTTGAAGTACCTGGAAGTATGTTCTTAGCAGTGCCTTTTTTGGCTCTTGCACTTCTTTTTTCAGGTAGTTTTTTGTCCTTTCCCAAGAAGGGCTGATCATCTCTGGGGATGTCACATGGAGTGTCTTCTGCATTCTCGCTGGCAGCAGCCTCCCAGCCAGGCAGACAGCCTTCGTTGTTGTTGAGACTGTCCTGCTCTAACACTTCGGGCTTCCCCATTGCGCTGTTGCTGTCAGTCAGAGGCTCAGGCCCATCCCCATCAAGCTGATTTTCATTCTCATCTGAGACAGAAGGCAAGCCTGTTACTCTCCTTTCCACACTGTCACCCAGCTGACATCCATCCTGTGGTTCTATCTGCAGACCATATGTAGGAGTGTCGCTGTCATCCATTAGCGCATCCTTTGTTGAACTGTTTAAAGTTTCATTAAAGTCCTTCCATGTCTACAAAGACAAAAAGAACAAAAGCTACTTCATTTTCTAACCTCTGGGGATGCAAGGTGATCTACAGTTCCCAACTTCTTTTCATTTCACTGACATCAGGGAAGAGAAGGAGAGGAACGACTGTCATTCTTAATGCCCTTTCTCCACCTGCACCCCAACCCAAGTTTCACACTCTTGCTTCAGTACAATGGTTCTCAAAGTCCACAGGCCTGGGGAGGGTGCCCCACTAAAACAGAATCTAAGGACTGTACACTGATGTTTCTCTGAGTTCTCTGGGTGAGTCTAAATGTACATCAGGTTGGGACTGACTTAAGGAAAGGAATGATTGAGTGTGCAGTTGTCTACTGAAACCCATCACTCCCGATATCCCTGGACACTCATCAGAAAAGTGAAAGCTAGCTGTGGAAGCGTTTCTGTAAGCAATAGCAATGTTTGTAAATGAAAACATGTACAGCTACACTATTTTCTTTTCTAGAAAAGTACATGGAAAAATTCAAGTAGCATGGCTGGGTGTGGTGACCCACGCCTTTAATCCCAGCACTTGGGAGGCAGAAGCACGTGAATCTTTGTGAGTTCTGGTTCAGGGCCAGCCTGGTCTACATAGTGAGTTCCAGGATAGTTGGGGCTACAGGGAGACCCTGTCTCAAAAAGACAAAAAGAAAAAAAATTCAAGTAGCATATAGTTACACCTTAGTCTCATTACACTTTTTTTTTTAATGTGAATGCATGTATTGCCTACATGTAGGTAAGTGCATTCATGTTGTGCAATGCCCGTAGAGATCAGAAGAGGCTGTCGGATCCCCTGGGACAGTTGTTAGCTGCCATGTGGGTGCTGGGATTTGAACCCGGGTCTTCTGCAAGAACAGTCAGTGTTCTTAACCGCTGAGCCATCTCTTCAGCTCCTCACTACACTTTTTAGTTCATAAAAATAAGCATTGAGTCGTAACTAAGAATTGTCAGTAAAATAATTTTAAACAATCACACTTTAAAAAGAGAAGCTATTTAGCATGGAGCTCTAAGAATACTGCTAGCACTTTAAATATCTATGTGAGTGCCTGAGTCCCAGGTACAGTGGCTGCTGAGGCAAGAGAGCTGCTGAGCCTAGGGGTCAGTCTGAGGTCAACCTGAACATGAGAGTTTTCTAAAACCAAAAACCAAACAGACCTGTAAAAGACTGTAGTCCTTTATCAGTCATCTTTAACCCTGTCATCCAAAACTATGGTATATTTTAAAGAAAAGTTTGTCAGCCATATTTTTTGTTTGCCTAGCATTTTTTTTGAGTCTGAATCAAATATTCCAGTAATTCTGAAAAAAAAAAATTGGTGATAAGATTTTTTAAAAAAAATTTTTTAAGTCTGGAGAGTTGGCTCAGTAGTTAAGAGCACTAGTTGCTCTTGCAGAGGACCCAGGTTCGATTCCCAGCACCCACATGGTGGCTAACAACCATCTGTAACTTCAGTTCCAGGGGATTCAATGCCCTCTTCTGACCTCAGCAGGCATTGCACGACATAGGTGCATTTACACACATGCAGGCAATATACTCATATACATAAAATAAAAATAAAATATTAAAAACATCTTTACATAAGTAGAAATTCTTATTCTTTTTAATTTTTTAATTAATTTTTTAAATTTTATGTGTATGAGTGTTTTGCCTACATATAAGTGCGCCCATGTCATGCAATGCCCGTGGAGGTCCAAAGAGGGTGTCAGATCCCCTAGAACTGGAGTTAAGAATGGTTGCTAGCTGCCATGTGGGTGCTGGGAACTGAACCCTGGTTCCAAGGCCAGTGCCCTTGACCACTGAGCCATCTCTCCACCCCTGAAATTCTTATTCTTAAAGTGTTTAAATAAAGTACTATTCTTATAAAAATACATAAACAAGGGCTAGGAATGTAGCTCAGTTGATAGAGTGCTTGCCTAGCACTCAGGACACCCTGGGTTTGATTCCCAGCACCATACAAATTGGGTGTGGTAGCCTATGTCTGTCATCTTAGGGTGGTGTCAACAGAAGAATCAGAAATTCAAGGTGATTGCCAGCTACATAGCAAGTTGAAGCCAGAACGGGATATACAAGATCCTATCTAATAACAAGGAGGAGAGAAAGAACATACATATATATGTACACATCACATACATATGTCAAAAGTCTATATTAATCCTATACTAATGTATCATATATTTTCAACATATTTTGCAAGTGAGATACATTATTTCATACATAAAAGTATTCTCAACAAACATAAAAATATCTCAACCTGGCTGGTATCATTTTCCTTAAGATATGCACTGCAAATCTCTACTGAATCAATTTCTACTTTAAACATCCTCAGCTGCTTTCTAATGTCGGTAATCAAGAGGCAGTCTAGCATGCTTACACTTTAAGTATAGGGTTTTATTTTCTACCTGCAAGAGACTCAAGTCACACATCGAGGGTAAGGTAGTGGAAATAGAAACAGCCTAGGGAGTGCAACAACCACCACTTGCTGAGCCTCCTTCACATACCCCGCATTGTGCTAAGCACTTCACATATCTGATCTGCAGTGTGTTTGAGATAATGAACATGTGGCTGGAGAAGTAAAATAACTAAGATCATATTCCTGGAAAGAAGTGGAACATGATCAAAACCATGTCTTCCTGGTCCCAAATCCTATGCAGTTCAATTATAATAGTGAACAAAGCCACACCTAGGTTCAAATTCTGTCCTTGACATTTAACAAGGTGTGTGGGCAATGTTAGACAAGTTACCTAGCAACTACAAACCTCAATTTCCTCATCTCTACAACTGCAGAACTCAAGAATACCTGCCTCAAAGGGCTGAGATTTTTGGTGGTACTAAGGACTGAACCTAGGATTTTGCTATGTAAATGTTTATTACTAAGATCCCAACCTTTTTCTTTACATTTATTTATGTATGTATTGTGTGTGTTATATGTGTATATATGTCTGTATGGGCGTATGTGTGCCACAGCGCAATATGTTGGGGTGAGAAGATAACTTGCAGGAGGCAGTTCTGTCCTTTCACCATGTGGGTCTGGTGACTGAACTCAGATCAAGCTTGGTAGTAAGTGCTTTTATTACCCACTGCCATCTTGTCACTCTGATCCACCAGCTTTTGTAAATTTTATTTGAAGACAGAATCTTACTAAGTAGCCCAAGTAGACCTCAAATCTTCTATGTAGCCTGGCTGGCCTTGTACTCATGACTCCCCTGCTTAGTCTTCTGAATGCTGGGATTATAGGCATGCTCCCATACTTGGCAAAGGGTCATTTTTGATGTTGAGGTAACAGTACAGGTAAAATAACATCCTCAGTGGAGTACTTGGCCCACATAGTAAATGCTCAATACCTGTTGCTTCCCAAGAAAACTCACAGTGGGTAAAGTGCTTGCTTTTCAACCATGAGAATATGAGTTTGATCCCCAGAACCCATATTTTAAAAGCCAGGTGTGGTAGCATGTTGTAATGCCAGTGCTGGGAGGCAGAGACAGGTGGATTCCTGCAGCTCACTGACCAGATGGCCCAGCATACTTGACAGGTTTCAGGCCACTGAGAAACCCTGTTCCAATGTCTCCATCAACCATCCACCCTAAGGCAGAGGACATGTGTCTAACGACCAAGTTCAAGTTTCCTGAAGGGCTTCTCTCTTCTAGAAAATGCTCCATCCACTGAATAAACTGTTTTCGGTGTGGCACTCCCTCTCCTGCTGAGAACCCTTCTGGGTGGTCTTGGGGCAAGTACAGATGATCCAAAAGAAGTAGCCATGCCCAGTAAAATATTCTTCTCTTAGGGCCTCAAGACATTTTGCCTCCAACTCTTTTGTGATGATGTAATTAGTTTAACTCTCAAAAGGAAAGTTATAAGCTTCTTTATAACATCTGGTCTCTTGCTCTTTCCAGAGTGTCATCTATTTTTTGCAAGGCAGCTAACAGTGCATCAAGGCCTGGCTCCAAAGTCACTTATCCCAGTTTGTCTACCCTAATTTCTCAATCCCAGAGGCTTCCACTCAAGCACCCACTGAGGCACTGTCAGTCACAGGGTCCTTCCCAAGTGCTGATCTGCACCACTTTTGCACGTGTAACTAGAGTCGAGCCTCTTGACTGCTCACAATCTGCTCAGTCTTACTTTTCACAGTGGCCTGGGCTCCTATGATTATTAGACACACGAGGAGTACGTTTTCTACTGTTTCCTTCTGAAAAGGAGAGTCAGACATGGACTCCCACCTGCAGCCTGACCTATTCTGAGAGGCAATGGTACTATCACACAGTACTTGGAGCCTGTCTGCATCCTTAACTCTTTTCAAATAGAATAATTTGAGCATAGAACAAACCTTTTTTTTTTTTTTTTTTTCTTTTTTAGAAAGAGGCCCCCTGTAGCCCCAGCTGTCCTGGAACTCACTATGTAGACCAAGCTGGCCTTGAACTCACAAAGATCTGCCTGCCTCTGCCTCCCAGTGCTGGGATTAAAGGTATGTGCCACCACACCCGGTATGAACAAACTTTTTGATGGGATTCTTGTAATCATTAGTACTCTACGAAAGTCAGTGTTGTAGAAAGTCAGTGTTGTAGAAAGTCAGTGTTGTAGAAAGTCAGTGTTGTAGAAAGTCAGTGTTGTATGTGCCTCTTTTTCCACCAGCACTGGGAAGAGGAATAAGGAGGCCCAGTCAGGAAACTATAGTGCAAAACCTGTGCCAACACTGCATGGGGCCCTGGGGGATTCTTAGCACACTTGTCAGTGTGCAAATGTACTTGTTCTATCTAAAGAATACAATTACTCTGTCAAGAGTCCCTGTGTCTAGACCAGTTCTCTCAAAAAGCACCAGAGATACTGAATCACTGCTACAACAGGGGCTCAAACATATTTTGCCTTTTAAAAGCATGACACCGAGTGCTACACAAGTTCCCAGACTCTTGTGGCAAAATAGCATTCCAAATATGAACACAGTAGTCTTCTGGCAGATGACTCCCCAGCAAAAGAACTTCAAACAAATATATTCAAGGAA